GGGGGGGGGGGGGGGGGGGGGGGGAGTTCATTCCACCACAATGAGACCAGAACAGAGAGGAACCGGGTCTCTGAGTGACGGGATGGCCAATCTTCCAGAGGCAGGGAGGAGGGTAGGGTTTGCCCATTGCTTGGAGGTAGGAAGGAGCTGTTCCCGTCACAGAGTCTCTAACTGGATGAAGTTCAAGGGCCAAGGTGAAGGTTCAGTCATGTGGGGACAGAGGAGAGGGAGTTCGCTGTAGCAGTGTGTTACATAAATCTGATGAAGAGGGCTCCTGCCACAGCTGATCCAAGGTCAGGTCCACAAAAATGAACAAAACTACACAGAATATTCAGAAATCTGTGATGCAGGTTTTACTTTTTTATGCCTCCTTACACAACCCCAAAACTAGATTGGGACATCCTAATTTTGTCTTAAGGGGCCCCTGACTCTTTTGCAGAGGTCAGCCGGGCCCGGGTGCTAATCGGTTCGTGATAATAACTCTCACTTGAATCCTCGGTCACAATCTTCACAAATGTCTTAACACAAACATCTGAGGATATTCAGCAGACAGTCTCATCCATTAAACATAAACACACACATGCAGCTCTCCCCAATAAAAGCTTCTTTACTGGTCCCAGTCCAAGCCCACCTCTGAGAGGAGAGAGGGATGATGAAACAGAGAGAAACCGTCTTAAAGCCTGCTCTTTGTTCTCTGCTGTTGGGTCTGTATTATTTTGTGTTGTTGTTACTCTGTCCACAGTGGCCAGTTTAAACACTGGTCAAACATGTGTTTGGAGCTGTGCTGGGATTTCCCATAATCTCCAGCTGGTTCTGCTTCAGTTGGTTCTGCGATGAACTGCTGTGTCAGCCAGTGAGCTCGTTAGAATTATACAGTAGTTTTATTCACTATTTGGAAAACCTTTCTAGAATATTGTACACATTTACAACTGTTAGAGATAAACTCATCACATAAATCAACAATCACGTTTGAAAAAGGCTCCAAAGTCCGATCTGGTGAAACGTTTGTAAAAGGCAGCACACGTGTGAGCTGAATGTTGTCACATTAACGTGAAGGTTACAGCAGCACACACACACAGACTGTACATGTTTCATCTTTTCTCTTCTCAGGAACTTTCGAAGCACTTTGACAAGAGCGACCCCGGATATGAGGTCGTTGAGGACGCCATCATCACCATGACCGCGGTGGCCTGGTACATAATGACATGAAGAGGAAACAGGAACACGCAGTGCGACTACAGGTTAGCACACCCAGGAATTACACGCTGTGAGACACCTGAATGATCTTTAAGCATTTATATTTCTAACATTACATCCTCATACATCACTTATTCTGAGCTGCAATGTCACTTTTCATTATAAAATAATGTATGAATAATCACCAGGGTTTCATTACAGAAAAAAATCCTTATCCTATCTTAAATTTCAAAGATAAGAAAAATCCTGTCTTCCTATTAGAGAAGCAATTCCTAAACTCATGGCATGAGGATGCCGTCAGATCAGTATATAGAGTTTTGAGGACCTTGACACTGGGAACAAAAAGTGGTACACAGAATAATATTAGGATCTTAATATAGTTCCTATTTAAGAACTTTTTAAGTCAGGGCGGTTCTGTAGTAGCTAAATTCCGATCCTAACTCCAGGAATCCTCTGACTCCGGCTACGGCACGTTACGTCTGCGCCACAGTTTTGAGGCGTCCGTAGCCTGCCCGTTTGAAGCCTTGAGTTTGCTTAGGGTTCATTTTTGCAACCAGCGGCACCGGACGTGACCATATTTGACAGTGGAGCTAACTACCGTTGTGCTGAGCTAGCTAGCTTGCTTAGCGAGGTGCATCCGTCATCTTAACAGGGCTGATAAGTTTGTCTATAGAACAGCAGGCTTAAACTAAATGTTCTCACCAGAGAAAGTGAACAGCCGACTCCTGATAAGCTTTTTCAACGGCGCTGGTTAAATTTACACAGTGCCGAGGGTACAAGTCACTCTAGTGTGATTTACAGGTCGCCATTGGTAACGACGTGTCAATCATAGATAATCCCGCCCTAAAGCCTCCCCTGCTTCCTGGTCTCTGTTCCTCTAAATGGGACCATAATTTACTAAATGAACCTCATGCTGTGTTGAAGAAGACTTGAAACTAGTGACTGAGACCATAAACTCATCAGGAAAGTGTTTCTGAGGGAATAAATCAGCTGACAAGTAGAAACATTTTATATCTATTTGAGCCCGGCTTCTTCGAGTCGCCCCCTGCTGGCCGTTCGATAGAATGCAGGTTTACGGGACTTCCGCGTCCGCATCAGTTTGCTGACTGGAAGCTTCCGCTTGGTTGTGAGAACTACGGTCCTAAACTGACATAAGACTTGAAGCCCAGAATCCCAAATCCACAAAGAGGTCAGTTTTTCACTCTGAACGAGCCATGGTAACAAATACGAAATCTGTCTGAAATTATATTTGGTTAGCTTATTTCATCTTTCAAACATTATAGATCCAATTAACCAGAGTTTTACCAAAGAAAAAACTTCCAACAATGTTTAGCAAGCTCCATGTTAAAACTGTAGAGGACCTCAGAAGGTTCCTTGAGGAACGCCTTCCAAACTTTTTATAAAATTCCACTTCACAGAGAGTTATTTATGAAGCCTTTGGAGATATTTCTTTAACCTTATGGTTTTAATTTTGCCCTCTTTGGTCCATGAAAAGAACCGTGACATAAGTAATTAAATGGAGATCTTATTTAAAACAAAGTCATTCATTTGTTTCACATGTAGATGATGAGATTGTGTTTTTGTTTGGTTAAGTTTAAGTCTGGTGTTATTCTATAATTTTATTACTGTCAACATATCCAAAGTTTAGACACAAAAAACCCAGTGCGTTTGTTCATCTTTCAATTATTTCTGACTTCCCGACCCTGACAGATTAATCTACATCTAACCCTAAGTGCCACAAAGGTTGAGTGGTTTCCAACGTTTTTTAATTTATGAAACCTTTTAATAGTAAGTCCTTACCCGTACCCAGTGTTTAAACTAAAAGCCAAGCTAACAGACCTGCAGCTCCTCTCCGAGCCTCCAGCCAGGAAGAGACAGACGGCGGCTGGAGGTCAGGTGCTCGGCCTTGAGGTGTCAAACTCTACAACTGCTGCGTTCCACAACTTCCCCCAACACGTGTTCACATCATTACACACAAGGGAACATGTTATTAACTTGTTCCATCACATGGGACGTTCAGCAGCCTTGTGCTGGTGGTCGGCTTCTTCTCCAGCTGAGTTTTAACACCTCTCCTGTCATTCTCTGCTTTGGTCTTTGTTCTTTCACCTCTTCTCAGTCTGGCTTTTTAAAGTTTTTCTCTTTTTTACCCATGTTTCTGTACCCTTTGGGTCAATTCACTTCAATTCAGTCCTGAGATCTCAAAGTGAAATATTCCAGTAGGAATCATACTAGTCCTGAAGCCCTTTATTGATATTTGACAGATTTTTTTATTTGGAATAGCACTTCATGAAATCTTTATGATCTGATTCAAACCACTGAATCACATGGCCATAGGCCCCGCTATATTAACTTGTGTTACACCTGCATTTGTATGAAGGCTATTCCCAAGGTACTCTTGAAGGACCTCGGTCAAGTGCAGAGTGGGTGAACATTGTTAATCTAGAAAATAATAAGCCATGGTTGTAACCATGGTAATATTAGTTTCAGTGAGAGAAGCAATTGACCCTTCACTAAGCCACCCTGAATACACAGCTGGCCAATCACAGCGCAGTATAGACTCACTCCAACTGAGGTCCGACACTTTCACAGCTGCGCTCCATGACTCTAATGCAGAAAGAGTCGTTTTCTAGCTTTTTTCTGGCTGTATTTTTCTAAGATCTGGTCAAACGCTGTTCCTGCGGCATCTTGTAATAGTTACAGCAGAGAGGCTGAAAGGAGAAGGACGATTTATTCTCTTTCCAAAACCTGTGGATTTTTCCTAATGTAATGTTAGTTAGCTAACGCTAGCTAACTTCCTACTGAATGTAACGTAGTAAAACCCTGCTGTTCTGCTTTTTAATGGTTGTAACAGTGAATAGCGACCTACCCAGCTGTACAGGAACAGTGTCAATCCTTAATAATATATAATAATCTTTATTTGTAGAGCACTTTCCAAAAACAAGCTACAAAGTGCTTTAACAAGTGTAAAGACAAAACAAAACAACACATGATAAAAGCAAAACAACACGTTTGAAATATATATAAAAGAATGAAATAAAATAGGATAAAAATCATTATATCATTGTCCTTGTCTCAATAGTCAGGTGGTGCGGTGGTTCACTTGACTCTTTAGCTTCTGTCTTTATTTTTTCGCGTCAGTTTGACAGCCTGAATACAACCAGAGACGTTTTATAGAGGAGACACGCTACTCAGTCACATCCTCACTATAACTCTATGGGGAAAGCCCACAACGCCAAAGATGGCTGCTATCCCGCCCCTCCTCCTAGAAAGCCAATCATCTACTTTTAACAGCCAAAGCGGGAATCATATTTCAGCCAATCGTGTGGTTCCGCTGACGTAAGGGTCTGTTTTACTTTGACTTCACATGCGTGGAAGTGGTGACGCATGCATAGTAGTGTGTGCAAGTTATGCAAGTGTAACCGGTCAGGAAAAAACGCTGTTTAAACCTTATTTTGGGGCAAAGTCGTCAAACTCTTTCAGCGATTTTTTTTTTCTTCTGCTGATTCTCTTCATGCAGTTTCATGTCCTGGCGACCTGTGAAAGTGCAGTTCTGGCTCTCTCCCCATTCATCCAGATAGGAGCCTGGTGTTGTTAGTCCGAAATAGCTATAAGATATATAGAGGCGTTGCCAAGATGGCTGCTAAATGGCATGACTTGCCTATAAGGACTTTGATGCAACCTTCAAATGCAGAATGCAACTGCAAAACTGTCTGCTTCTTTCTGAGATCGCTTTTTCCGAAAATTAGACAATAGTTCTCCAGGGAGTGCGGGAATAAACTGTGGCAGCGCCATGCTAAAAGTCTGACAGGTCCGACAAAATAAAACGCTAGCGTATTGAAACAACGCATTTTGAACGGCACGTTATTAAAGTTGTGAAACATTGCAAGATTTTGGCACAAAAAGTACTGGGTAGGTTTAGGAACTAAACTACTTGGTTAAGGTTAGGAAATATCCTGGTTTGGGTTAAAAGAACTACGTAGGTCAGTTAACACGTAAGTTAACTAACGTCACTCGCGTAACTTAAATAAAAATATTTAATCTTTTTGTTTCACACGGGTTCAAAGTCCAGGTTTTTCCTTCCATCCACCTCCTTATTCAGTCTTTCCTGTTAAATATCATAAACCTGCCTTACCGTCACAAACTGAAGCTACAGGGCTTCCCCCACTGCGCTGAACTATGATGCTACAGGGATCCCCAGTGCGTTATAGACTGACACTGATGGGTCTTGACCATGTGTCCATATGACGACTTGGAAGTGAGAACGGGTTGGTAACAATCAAAATTTAAGCGCTACTGCTGGCCTTGCCAAGCTTTCACTGTGTCTTGTTTATTAGAAATTTAAATGAGGTCTCTTTCACCTTTACTGCAGTTGGACCTATAATCACACAACAGAAGTACAAAACAACGTCATCAACGAGAAGTTGTCATCGCAAACAGTTTGGTCTGTAGTCTCAAACTGTGGTAGTTTAGTGTTTCTACGTCTTTCTCACTCTCTCTTCCAGCCGGTCGTGTGAGGTCAGAGGTCGTCTCCACAGGTGGGTGACCTGTGCCTGTCGTACAGCAGAGGAGCTGACTCATTAACAAACAGTTGTGTTTGGGAATAGTTTAATCTTTAACCCCTAAAAGTTCACGGAGCAGGAAGAGCACAGGTGTGACCTCTCAGCAGCTGGGTCCGGAGGGGAACCGTTCACGCCGGCCCAGATGGAGGAGAGTTCATATACTTAAAGAGATTGTTTGATTTTTTATACAACTTCTTTCCTGTTGTGTCTCAGTCTTTCCTTTAGAGATGACGATAACCCTAACGAACCTGCAGTTATGAAGGGTGAAGTAGTCTGAAAGGAGGAGACTGATCAGTTCTGGACGGTTCTTTTTGTTGACCTTTTGTGTCTTTCCACCTGTGTTTACAAGAAAAAACACTCACCACCGGGGTGAACAGGACCCATCTGGAACTCAGTGGTTTTGTAAAGTTGAACCCGTTCTGTGTGGGACTGATCAGCTCCTTTCTGATGAGCAGATGGCGGCTTCTGGCTGCTATCAGTGCACGAATGTGTGTGCATGTGACATGTAGGATGACGCGCTTTAGGGAAGATTAGAAAGGTGCTATATAAGTGGGAAAATGTGTCGAACAGCTGCTTCATGGTCATTCTGCAGCTGCAGAGTCCTGCACTTGTTGCACCAACAGCCATTTTACTCATGGACCACTTTGTTTTTTAGTATAACACCTGAATTTATTCACAATTATAAAAGAAAATGTATTATTTGTGTTTTCATTTGCTTTCAAGTTGATGCTAAATTAAGTGGATATTGTTCATTTGTGTATACAATATAGATATAAATTTAGGTATGATGCAAAGTGACAACAGGCATAAAAGAGAAACCAGTGGTTCCTAGGTACATCTCAAGTATGTACAAACTGGCATTGGGGGAATACATACTCTGAAAGAAGGCGTTGTGATGCTAATTTGCGTCTGCGTTAAGGGGATAAAAACTAATTTCACTAACAAAGACCACGCTACTAGAGATGTGGATTTGGAATATTTTATTGTATGACGTGGATGGAGGAGAGCTGAGATGATGTAGCGAGATGGATTAAGGGTCCAGATGGAGGGATGAGGAAGAAGAGTGAGAGGTCGAGGAAATTGGGGATGAGAGTTCAGGGCGGCTGTGGCTCAGGAGGTAGAGCAGGTTGACCGTTAATCGGAAGGTTGGTGGTTCAATCCCTGGTTCCCCCTGGTTGCATGTTGAAGTGTCCTTGGGCAAGATACTAAACCCTGATTTGCCCCCAGTGGTGTATGCGTGAATGTTAATTTCCGTTTGAGCACTTAGGCTCAGTGTATGTAGTGTAAAAGCGCTTTGAGTGGTTGAAAAGACTAGAAAGGCGCTAAACAAATACAGAGCATTTACGGAGCATATGAAAATATTAAAAAGGTGAGGGAATCAGGGTATGGATGGACGGAAGAGAACGATGGAGCTCAAACACAGAAGACTCATTCCCCCAAAATGCACCACAGAGCGCCACAGGAAGTCATTCCTGCCTGTGGCCAGCAAACTTTATAAGTGTCTGACACTTAGTCAGTTATTAAAATAGACCTTATTATCTATTTCTGTGCAAAATTACCTGTTTAATAATTAATGTGCAATATTCTCTGCTGCTATTTATTCACTAGTCCTTTTTGGTTCACCATAATAACTCTTAATAATGTAAATATTGTACATTTTATATTTATACTCTTTATCTATGTACCTTGACAAGTGTGCAATTGTGACAAAAGAATTTCCCTTTGACACACAGAACCAAAAACAGACTTACACAGGAAAACATGAACACAAACCAGACTCCCACACTTTCTAGGCTGTGCGACCACTCAAAGCGCTTTTACACGACATCGCATTCACACACAGTCATACACCGATGGAACAGCCGCCGGGGGCAATTCAGGGTTCAGTATCTCGCCCAAACCCACTTCGACATGCAGCCGGAGGAGCCGCTGACCGAGCCGGCGATCTTCAGATTAAAGGGCAACTCGCTCCACCTCCTGAACCACAGCCGCCCTAACCATCGCTTAATGTGCTCTGAACCCTCAGTGGTTCCTACGTTCTAACAAAAGAGACAGAAAGTGAGAGAGAGAGTCTTTGTTCCTGAACCTAGTTATATAACTTCATATAAAACCCTTCCTTCTTTTATTGAACATTCTGCAGCTGCAGTTATATTTTCTAATTTTATCGTGTTCCCTAATTCCACAGCTGACAATCTGTAACTTGTGCACAAACAGAGTGGAACAGGCAGATTTGGGGCGTCAGATTCCATAATCACACACCTTCTCACGAACAGTCGGCATTCATCAAATGAAACGCTCATATAAAGCTCACAGAAAAAAAGAGAGGAGCCTCTCTTTCGCAGGAAGGCCCTGATCACATTCACACCTGCAGCCTGGTCTGCTGGCAGCAACACTGGAGCTACGGGGGTTATGGGCCTTGCTTGCCAGTACAGGGCTTGAACCGGCGATCTCCCGGTCACAAACTCGCGTCTCTAACCTAAACTGTAACTAAACATCTGACAACATCTGTTCTTGTGATGCTGCTGGTCCAGAGCGTGTTCCTGTGAGTTCTACACACCACCTTTCGGCTCTACCGGGCACCAAACGAGTTTACATTTCATAAAGCAACCGTTTGAAAGCTTTAAGAGGTTGTTTTCAGCCCCGCAGTGTTCTCCGTAGAACCTTTCTGTATATCACCATGAAGGTTCAGGTAGTAGAACCTTTCTGTATATCGCCATGAAGGTTCAGGTAGTAGAACCTTTCTGGATATCACCATGAAGGTTCAGGTAGTAGAACCTTTCTGGATATCACCATGAAGGTTCAGGTAGTAGAACCTTTCTGGATATCACCATGAAGGTTCAGGTAGTAGAACCTTTCTGTATATCGCCATGAAGGTTCAGGTAGTAGAACCTTTCTGGATCGCCATGAAGGTTCAGGTAGAACCTTTCTGTATATCGCCATGAAGGTTCAGGTAGTAGAACCTTTCTGTATATCGCCATGAAGGTTCAGGTAGTAGAACCTTTCTGTATATCGCCATGAAGGTTCAGGTAGTAGAACCTTTCTGTATATCGCCATGAAGGTTCAGGTAGTAGAACCTTTCTGTATATCACCATGAAGGTTCAGGTAGTAGAACCTTTCTGTATATCGCCATGAAGGTTCAGGTAGTAGAACCTTTCTGTATATCGCCATGAAGGTTCAGGTAGTAGAACCTTTCTGTATATCGCCATGAAGGTTCAGGTAGTAGAACCTTTCTGGATATCGCCATGAAGGTTCAGGTAGTAGAACCTTTTTGTGTTACGTGTGTTTCTCAACCTTTCACCCCCATCCTCGCAGGAAATTGAGTCCCTGCTGGTGAACTGGAGCGGGCCGGACCTCAGCGGGTTTGGAGAGCTGGTTTTGGAAGGTTCCTTCAAGGTCCACAGAGTGAAGAAGGAGAGAGCTTTCTTCCTGTTTGATAAGATGCTGCTGATCGCCAAGAAGAGGCTGGAACAGTTCGTCTACAGCACGCACATATTTGTAAGTAACGGACGTCCTCCTTTGACAACTAAACCCCCCTTTTTCATTGTCTCATGGACGTTTGAAGAGGAGACACGCCTCTTCAAGAATCCTCAAAGATAGCAGTTTTATGCACATATCCCGCCCCTCCTGCTAGAAAGCCAATCGTCTGCTTTTAACAGCCGAGCGAGGAAACACATTAAGCCAATCGTGTGGTTCCACTGACGTAAGGGTCAACCATGCAGGTGTCGGAGATGTATAACCTGTGGGGAAAAATCTGATTTTACTGCTGATTCTGTAAATGCAGTTTTTACGTCCTGGTGACCAGTGAAAGTGCAGCTCTGACTCTCTCCCCATTCATCTACAGAGGGGTCTGGTCTTGTTAGTCAAGACCAAGACCAGAGCTTATCGAGACCGAGTCAAGACCAAGACCAGTTCCCCACATTACATGACACACAATATAATGTGGAAGGAGATCAGAGGCGCTTCTCAAACTGAGCTGGAAGATCCACATTCCCATTAAAACCCCCACATACAAACACTAAGAGCTGAAATCAAAGATAGCATCTTTATTCAACGCTCCTTTTTCACACTGAGCATCGCGGGGAGGGGGGGCAGGCGTTAACGGGAACAACACATTTTAATCAGGGTTATTTTTTGTATTTGAAGCAACACGTTTTACATCCAATCAAAGTTCGGATGTTAACAAATAAATCAGACGATGCAAAAGCAATTTATTGATATTCCCAAAGTTCTGGTCTTGACTGGTCTTGAAATAAAATCCAGAGTCCTCCATGTCCGGGACCGAGACAAGACCATTAAAAAGTGGTCTTAAGACCGGTCTCGAGTACTACAACACTAGAAAGTCAACTCAGTGAAACACAGAACCCCCCGCCAACAAGCAAGTGCTCACGATGGCACGACGCAGAAGTATAAATTGGGCTTGATGGTGCTTAAAAAGCCAGATTAATAATGCAACATGTCTCTCTCTGTGCCTCTCTCTGCTGCAGTGCTGTAATCTGCTGCTGGTAGAGACTCTGAAGGATCCTCTGTGTTTCAAAGTGTCAGATCAGACGATTCCCAAACAGCAGCACACCGTCCAGGTGAGTGTTGGAGGGAAGCTACTTCTTTATCAAGTCCTCCACTCCGATCCATCCCAGGCAAGGGCGTCACTTTGTGTTGGAAAGTGGTGGGGACATAAGGGCTCAGATTAGGGGTGTGAAGAGACACTCAACGAGAACGAGACAAAAAGATCCTTAAACAGTGTTGCTGAGATACATGAGCGCCGCTGGGGGTCCTCCCCCAGGAAATCTTGATCTTTAAACACTTCATTTCCTGCGTTCTGGTGAAGGTTTCTGCACCAATTTATGGTGGAAATGTTTTTATGTATGTATGTAAAGGAAACACAAAATTCAGGCAGCTTGTTACATTTCAAAATCTAAAAATAAATGAGTAAGTAAGTGAGCAGCTCTCAGTCATTCTGTGCTGCTCTCAGATCTGTTTCTCCTGCAGATCAGCTTTTCTCCTGTGATACTCTGCTGAGGCAGCTCACATGCAGGCCTGACTGAGTCTTTTGTCATGTTCACAGGGAGAGAACGGAAAACTTAAGTTCCTGACTGCTGCTGCACGTTTTTGGGTCATTTGTTTTATAGCTTAAGTTACTTTTTTTGTTTCTTCTATATTTTAAATGCATTGACTGTTTTCTTAATGTGCAAAAAGGCACTTTCATTTGTTCTTTAACTACAAGCTGTATTTCAGAACGCTTTTAACATATGTAAAAAGTGGTGGGGACAGAGTCAGCCATTTCAGAAAGTGGTGGGGACATGTCCCCGGCGTCCCCAGCGTCCCCAGTGTCCCCAGCGTACATGACACCTATGATCCCAGGTCATGTCTCAGACTCCAGAATCATGTCAGTCATCAGTTTGAGTTGATGTCACCAAGTGTGTGCTGTTACAGCACAGAGACATGAACAAAGGACAAATACTTCTACATGTCAGGTCATAATTACATGATTGCAGTATCTTCTTTGCGTGCTTGCTGTTCTCCAGATTACTTGTTTAATACTTCATATCATAACTGCAGACAAAGAACCAGGAGGAGAAGAGACTTTGGGTGCACTACCTCAAGAGACTGATCTTAGAAAACCATCCTGCTTCATTCCCACAGAAGGTAAGGAGGGAGGAGAAGAG